AGACACACATACACAGACACACACGCACACACGATGTAAAAGGAGTTTAACTTTACATATTTTATCAAGACTATATTATTTATTGTTGAAATCGTGGTATTTTTTTAGAATTAAAGGCAGTGTCCTTAGTGGTTACAGCCTAAGTGGTTACAGTGGTTAAGAGCAGGCTTAACCATTCTCCAGCCGTCTGGGGGACACTACTTCATTCTTGACTCCTGGTAATACATTGCAACACAGATTTGGACTTCGGGCAACTGATTTTTACCTAGCTGAGTGTATTATCTCATGTCTGGCTCTAAGCTACCCACTCCTGCGTCTCATTGTGACTCTCGGGTCCTCTGAAGCTTGAACTTGGAGCCATAGCACATTCTGTGGTCTTGCTATGTCATTGCTGCGTTTGTGCTCTGGGTTACCTCGTTTCCTCTCCTCTCATTAGAGTGGCTGCTGCCACAGTGCTGGGCCTTCTGTTCCACACTGTGCCACAAGGAACACATCTGGCAGTGTGACATTAATACCAGCCATGGACTGTCCTTGTGGTCCCGAATCGTAATGGTAGGTCGCAGTTTATTACTGGGGGTCAAGAAGAAGGTAACATCCAAATCAAGGAACTTTGAGTCACCACAGAAGTAAGCCTGTTCCTCCCTCAATTGCCACGGGTGTAAAAGGGATGATGACATTGCATCTATAAATGGGGATGTCCTACTAAGGTTTGAAAACCTTGCAATAACTCCGAAGTGTAATATAATATAATCCTGACATTGGAAGGTGCTTGGTGGGCAGAAGGAACATCAGGTTTGTCATCAGCAATGACGGTGAACTGTGGGTCCTCCATCCACGTGTCAACTCTGCCTTTGGCCTACTTGTGACTAGTTACCTGATCAGCCTTTTTTTTAAGGAAAATTATAAAGTCTAGTGAAGTTGTTACTGTGGCAAATAATTATGGGCTGAACTTTTAAGACTTGAGAGTGACCTCAATCAAAAAGCAACTGAGGGTCTGCAAAGACAGAACTTGGAGTAACAATGCTTGCTGCTTTTCCAGAGGACCTGAGTTCAGTTCCCAGCACCCACATCAGGCAGCTCACAACTGGCTGTATCTGCAGTTCCAGGGGATCCAATACCCTCTTCTGGCCTGTGGGAATACACACACACATACACAAACAACCAATGACAAAAATAGTAGTCGTAGTAACAATCATTTTTAAATGATTAAGATTAAAATCATCAAGTTTCTCAAATACTTGAGCTGACAGTCTGAAACAATAACACATGGAAATGAGTTACACATTATTTATTAGTAATTAATATATTGATTACTTACTATGTGCTAACAACTTCATTTCCTTTTGTAAAAATGTCTTTATTTCATTTTATGTGTATGTCTTTCTTGCGTGTTTACCTGTGTCCCACGAGTGTACCTGGTGCCCACTGAGGACAGAAGAGGACGTTGGATCTCCTGGAACTAGAGTTACGGATGGTCATAGCCACCACGCACAGCAAACGCTGGTGAAGTCTGAGCCATGAGTGCAGCCCCAACTCTATTTCTTCCCGACCTTTTGCATACCCTGTGAAGTATGACCTGCGAGCCCATTTCACAATTGGATGGCCAAGGCACAGAGACTGAGTCATGACCCTAGGTTACTAAAACGTGCAGTGCCATGCAGCTAGCTTCGAACTGAAATCACTTTGAACTGACAGCTTGCTTGTGAACCACCACACACTTCCTCTTGAAGGTAAACTCTGAATAATATGTCATAGAACAAATGTGAATATTGTTATACATTAATAATGTAGTGAAAGGTATCACTCAGGCAAACAGCAGTAAGACATCTCTCTAACCTATTCTGTCTAAGCTACTCAGATGGACTCTCTCCAGGTAGACTCATCCAGTAAATAGCCCATGAATACATTATACAAAGTTTTCGTCACTGTTTTCTATAAAAATCTTGATTTTTTTAACCATTAATTTGAGCATTCTAGTAGACAGCTTAACTCCTCTGAAAAGTAATTCCTGAAGTCTGGACTACTTTCTCACCCCTTCTTCAGGCTAGTCTTGTGCGGATGGTTAGTTTCTAGTGTGGTTCCAGCCTTTTCCTTCAACCAGATTATTTACTAGTAACGCGAGGCAGGAGCAATACCATGAGCTTCCATTTGCTGTCCCCAGGACATGCTGCATCTCCTGAGTTTCCGTTGCCCGTGCCTGTTCCTGTCTCGCTCAATGACAGACCATAACGTTTCCGCCTTTGTATTTTAATGCCTGGCATAGTTTTTTCTGCCTAGCGTCGTTGACTGTTTGATGAAGAGTAAAACGTAGACGGGGCAATGGGTCAGTGGGTAAAGCCCCAAGCCTACCAACCTGAGTTTACGGAACCTTCGCAGAAGGTGATATCATTCCACAGGTGCCTGCATCTAAAACCAGAATGGGGTGGAGGCAGGAGGAACCCAGTAAACAAGACAGACTTTACCTCAAATAAAGAAGAAGGTGAGGAGGCCTCCACACAGGCCATGACACACACATTCAATAAATAACAAATAAATAATAAGTGAAACAGTGTGCTGAACACTCAATAGTTGCCAGTTATTATGTGTCTTCAGATTCGATCCAAAATAGGAAATAACCTACTTGGAAATATGGTTATGAGTGAGGGAGCTGACCCTCCCCCCTTACCTGGGCAGCACAGTATTGCTGACCCTACTGACTGGGGTGTAGGTGAGCCCGCCCCTACATGTAAGTATGGGGGATCTGGCCCTGGCCCTCATCTCCCATATGGTGGTACCAGTTAGTGGGGGGGGGGGAGATGCCCTCTCCTCCCTGTGCCCCCATGCCCTTCACCATGTGTGGCAAGTGAAAGAGTGGGCCCTGAGGTCGTAAGAGCTGGAGAGCCGTCCCTGCCCCTCACCAGCTGCAGCTCTCAGGAGAGCGGTCCCCGTACATTGCCTGGGCAACACAGCAGAGCCGACCCTGATGGTGTGGGTGGGGGAGAGCCGACCCTGAGGGCGGGAAAGCAGGGGAACAGGCCCCACCCCTTGTTCATTGCTACAAGGGGTGAACTCACCATGGCAACGCTGCAGAGTTCACCCTGGTGGTGAAGACAGGGGGAGAGCTGGTGGGCTGAACATCCCAGCAATTACCCCGGCCCGTAACCAGGGCTATAGGCTGACTCACCCGAACACCCACCCCGTCTATGATCGGCTGGAGCACACGAAGGGACTGGTCCTAGAGACCCAAAACTGCGGGATCTCCACAACACAGGGCAACAGCAGGATATCCAAGGAGTCCCAGTGAGGGCCCAGCATCTATAGTATAGTGGAGGCCTCGAACCACACCAAAACTCTGCAATGAACACTCGCAAGTAAAGATGCATGGACAAAGGGTTCACTGTGTGAGTCTCTGCGTCACACTGCAGCTTCCACGACGAGTTTGAGTCTTCTTTTCCTTTTTTTTTCTTGAATTTTAATTTTTATGGGGGTGGTGTCAGGATCAGAGGGAGGATACACAGGGACAGGGAATGAATGGGATCGAGAGGCACGGTGTGAAAGACACACAGGATAAATTAAAAGAAAGTTAAAAAAGTTCTTTCTCGGAGGAAAGAAAGATACGGTTGTAAAATGTCTTTAAACTGACAGCTCGATTACAGATATGGAAACTGCACTTTCAGAGGTGTTAATGCCATCTCTGCTAGCAACATCCAGGTAGTGGAAGAAAGACGCGGACTGAAATCTTGACTCAATCCCATCCATCTTCCTATTTCTAGGAGGATGGAACGGAAGGGTCCTGGCTTTGCTCCAAGCTGTACCCTCAACCACTTACAGGGTCTTCAGAAAGATGTTTGTTTGTTTGTTTGTTTGGTATCTTCATTGTAAAATCTAAAAATGAGGGTTGAACTCAACTAAGGGCTAAATAGTAAGAATCTATGTGAGAGCAATTCTAGTCTCAAGGCTTTAGTGCAAATCCTTTTTTAATTGAACTTTAAAAGATAGTCTCCGTAGACTCTCTTAAATGCAGAAGCAGATGCAATTATTTTGAGTCACTATCCCACAGAATCCACACCCCTGCTGAATGAAATATATACACCTCCAAATGTTTTTAGATATGGTGAGGTTCATTCATTTTAAATTTTCGTTATAGACCCTTCATCCCATAGACTCCTGTTGAAGATCCCTCCGTTCAGTTTTTAAAGAATTGCATATAGATTTGTGAACAAAAAAACAGAACTGAATTTTTCTAAGAGAAAACTCAAATTCCAGTTTTTAATTTTCTCAGTAACTAGAAAATCGAGTAAGGGCTAGATTCCAGACATTATGGAAAATGAGGTGAGTGGATTCCTGTTCGTCTGCCTAACAGGAAAGTTTGCCACTACATAAATATCTCTCTTCAGTGTCTTGAAACTCTTTGGAGGAAAGTTGCTGTGCACACGCAGGAGAGCAGGCACGCACACACACACTCACCAGCAGTCCAATTATTAGCCCACAATGTTAACTCTTCAATAACCTCTTGAAGTTTGAAATAGTCCATGGGTAGATGCTTTGTGTTTCTTATACCTGTAGTTGAAGCATCTTTTTGAAAAGAGGTAGTATAGAAAATCATATGTATACTACTCGAGCAAGAGCAGCTGTTTGAGTATAAGAAAGGTTAGAATTGTGAGTCATCATATTTTAAGCTAAATCAATGCAATCTGCCCAAGAGGGAGGAAATGAATATCTAGAAAGCACAACTTCCATCCAATCACGTACAGACAAATCACCCTTCGGACAAATCAAATGTCTTCATTTAAAGCTTACCTGGATTTGGCACACTGCCCAGCTTTTACAAAACTACTGACAATAATACTTTCACCACCAGTTTGCTTATTAAAAAAAGAAGAAGTTAAAAGAAAAAAGTTTTTGCTATGATTGCTTTAACAAAAAAAAAAAAAAAAAACAAAGACCTTTTTAACCCACAAAAGACAATTGCTTGGTGAGAGCAAAGTTTGCCTCTGAGTTAGCAGCTTGAGGAAACAGGATCCGTGGGTGGGAGTGAGGTGTGCTCTGCCCATAAATAGAGGCTCAGGGCTCTGCTGACACATTCAGAAGCTTGGACTGCAACCCGGGCAGCTCACACAAAGCAGGAGGGCGGGGAGCCCAGGTAAGACAACTGACAATCACTTTGTTGGTGCACTTGCTAGAGGAAGCTGTGGCCTCTGACTGCTGTGCACGTTGCAGGCAGCAAGGCTCTGAGCAGGTCTCACGCAACCCTCAGAAGCTCACTATGGTCTTTCTTTGGCTTAAAGTGGTGGAGAATCCCATTCCTGCCTAGGTTCAGTGTGTGAGATGCTTCGCCCCTCATTAAACTGGAAATTTACAGGTGGGTGAACTCATGAGTTTTCAACCTGCATCAGGGTGCAGAAAATCCTGTGTCCACCCCTGTACTAGGTAATGCAAAGGCCATGGGCTCTGGACTGTGAAAACTCAGCTCAGATTGCCCCCTGGGAATATATTCTTGCAGAACGGGAAACAGTTTTCTTTATGCTTCTGCAGATTTTAAGAGTGTCAGAGGGGAGAGCTGGCACTTTCTGAAGTAACAGCAACAGAGTCACTGAAACCTCCAGCAAGGACATTCATGGGAATGGAGTGACAGTAAAATGCGCTGATTCCAGAGAATAAGTGGCCCTTGGGGTGGGGAGCACCTGCAGATTATCACAGTCTTGCAATTCTGTCTTGGAGTCTCCAGCGCTGTGGGCTTCCAGGGGCTTACAGATGATTGTAGAGTGGAATGTTTGCAGAACAGATTGTTTTCACCGTGAAAACAGAGTAGAGAGAATCACAGAAAGCCATCTCAGAGCAGGATGTGTGGACAGCAGTGCTATATTGGCCTTCCTTGAAGCACCCTGCCATAAAACACATGTGACACATCAGTAGTTCCAGCCCATAATCTGCAAAGCTATTGCAAGGAGGCCTAGGAGCCATTTGTACAGCAAGAATTGACAGTGGTCTAAATACAGCACTTTGCCACGAATTCCCTCTTATAGACTCCATATAAGTGCTTATGCAAGTAATATATATTCAATTATTTGTTGAGAAAGTCAAATAAGTTCATCTATACTTCTGAACCAGCTTGTGTTCCAGAAATATAATAATTCTCATACGAGGTACCTCATCCATTTTTAAATAATGAACAGAAGTCAGGACACGAATACAGCTGCTAGGTATCGCTGGCCTATGATATGCTTAAGTTGTGACTGCAGAATTTCAGAAGATAAAAATCATGAGGAGCATTCCTGCATCCTTACAAATGTGGAAATGTCTGACATTGTGTCACCGCCTTAGCTTGTCATCTTTTCTGAGCCTCTGTGTGGCTGTGCACTGTGCCTTGGATAATGGTTGGCCAGTTTAGTTTAAGGCATCACTTGGGTTGGTGACTGGCTTCTTTTTACTCCTCTGACGTCTAGCAAATATTCCCACTTCGGGCTCACAGTTTATGAGGCCCTTCCCTCTCTCCTAAGCACTTACACCACGACACTCTACCTGCTTTCTTGGTAGAGACTACTTGACTTAATGAAGAACGATACCAATACTAGAGACGGACGCTGTAGTTCTGCAGTGCTTTCTGGGCACCGTTAGGACTTGGCTTTACCAGATTTGAAGTCTGCAGTACCCCAGGGTATAGCCCATAGGTACTCTGAGTGACAGGAAACACAGCCTCCTTGGCCTTCCCTCCTGCACTCACACACTTGTCATTCAGAGCCCTAGTCACGATCATCTGCTGCAGCTTTCCCTGGTAATTAACTGTCAATAGCAGAGGGGGAGGAAAGGGAACTTAGCAGAGAACCAGCCTGGGTTTTACTCCCTGTGTCATGTGCATCACAGACTACATCTGTGCACTGGAGAGGATGCCCTCCCCTGCCACACAGGCTCACACTAGGGCAAAGGATGCTCATTTTATGTGCCTTGGTCAGTTCACAGCGAATGCCATCTGAGCAGATCCTCAGCAGGGAAACGGGATGAGTCTCCAGAGAGGTGGCAAAGCTAGCATGCTCTACATGAAGTGAGATGTGACCAGGTTATTCACATCCAGTCTTCAGGGGCAAGGTGTCCCTTTCACTGCAAGGGTAAACTGTTCGGGGAGGGGAGATGGGAATTAACACTTTCCCTCTGAACTCATCCCCAAAATCTTTTCATCTCTCTGAACCTTAGAGTCTTCATCTACACAGTGAGAAATCGGGGAAGGGGGAAGAGAGGTACCCCAAATTACCTTCCATCGCTATGCTTTTTAGTGCAACTTTTAAATGTGCTTTTCCTTAGCTGCCAAGTATATACATCTACCTAGTTATACATTTCCTTACGATGTGTATCATCCTATTGTAAGATAAGACACAACAAATATTATGTATCCATTGATAGAGGAAGCGAAGACGGTGAGGGCAGATAGACAGCAGAGGTTAGCTCAATAAGCATTCCCAGGAAACTCCTGCGTCCTGTGGAAGATGGCTGCCTATCCACGCCTGTCCCATCTCACCTGGGTGTAACCCGGTTCCCGATGCTTCCCACTGTTGTGATGCACTCCGTAGAGTCTAATTTCTTCCCGTTCGTTTCCCGTGTAGATTGCCATGGAGAAAATTTTGGCGTCAGCCTTCCTGCTTCTTGTGGCCCTCTCCTATACCCTGGCCAAAGAAACCACAGTCAAACCTGGAGCCAAAAAGGACGCAAAGGACTCTCGGCCCAAACTGCCCCAGACCCTCTCCAGGGGTAGGTGCCAACTTTTTGTCGGTTCCCAACTGCAACTTCATTCATAAAGACTCCCCGACTCTTGGTATTAAATGTGTCTGCTGGAGATACTTGGGAAACTTCTTTTTTCTAGATTTAGCATAGTTAATAGTCAGGTAATCCCGCTCCGGAGGCTTTGGTTCTTCAGTACTAAGCACATATTATCCGGGTTTTTACCATCACTTTTCAGCAGGCTTGAGCCTGAAACTGTGGTGGATTTAAAGGTACCAATTCCTCTTGCTCTAGGTTGGGGCGATCAGCTCATCTGGACTCAGACCTACGAAGAAGCCTTATACAAATCCAAGACTAGGTAAGGAGCTCCTGGAGTCTCTCGTGAGCGCCATCTGGTGGTAACTATCGGGTGCCATGACGTCCTGCTAAACATCTGATCTCATCTCTCTCACAGCAACAGACCCTTGATGATCATTCATCACTTGGACGAATGCCCACACAGTCAAGGTAGTCTGTTCTTCTCAATTTCTTCTAGAGGCTTTGTGTTGGGTCAGGGTTTGGATCACTCATGTTTACGTTCCTAGAACCTAGCACTGTTGAAGAAGAAAGAGTATCTTAAAACATTTAAAAAGAAGTTTGAATGTTTCCATGTTTTGAATAAACTATTGGCGAATATTTTGAATAAAAAACGCTGGGGTCCGGGGGCTGCAGAGATGGCTCAGCGGTTAAGAAATGCTGGGGTTCATAATTAGCTTCTTCCATTCTCTTCATGCGATACATCAACAGATACCATGGGATTGACTGCTAAAATATATCTCCAGTCAGCGCCAGCCTCACACACATGCAGCCTGCCCACTTGTAGAGGCTTCCTGCGTTTGATGCAGTGAACTCATCGCTGCCTTCACTTAATGATTCTTGTGTGAGGGACTCTACATTTCCATTCCCTGCTGGTATTAATTAGGTAGCTCTTCTTACCCAAACCCAAATGCCTTCTGTTACCTCAATGCTACCACCTTAGTCCAAGCCAACATTGTAGCTTGTTCACAATACCACACCAGTCACCATGGATCACACCAGTCAGAGCTCTCTGCACAGAGAAGCCGGACTGAAGCTGTTCAGCACAACTCAGATCCTTCACTGGTGTGCCCCAGTGGCTTCTCACCACAAGTAAAGCCTGGTTCCGGAGATGGACCCCACCTGGCCAGAGCTCGGTTTCCCTTTCCTGTCAAGGTCACATATTCCCACTCTGTCCAGCCTTCATGCAATTCACCCCTATTAGCCGAGGCTTTTATAGCCCCCTCTGCCTGAGGCAACCTGTCTCCAGCAGTCTGGGCACTCTCTGACCTCAGCCTCCCCTCCTACAAGAGATCTGCGTGACAAACTCATAGCTCTCCAAGCCTTTGTCCCCCGCGTATGTACACCTACATGAAACTACATGTGCAGCATGCATTGTTTATGCTGTGGCTCCCACACGAGCCTCCGAACTCTGCAAGTGGCCTGTGCCTGTCTGTTCCAAGTGTTTTCCTAGTCTATAAAATCATGTCTGCTACAACGTAGTTGTTCAACAACATCCCAAATCATTTGCTGGAGGGGCAAAGTAGGCATTGCATTTAAACCACGTTTCAACTTACAAGACAACAGAAAGCAAGAGTTCTAACTAAAACTGTATAGATAATTGCTCAATGACTTTTTTTTCTTATGTCACAGCTTTAAAGAAAGTGTTTGCTGAAAATAAGGAAATCCAGAAACTGGCAGAGCAGTTTGTTCTCCTCAACCTGGTTGTAAGTCCCCCTCACCGTCACCCCCATCTCGTCTGGCTTCAGTGTCTGATTCATCCTTTCTGTGCATCTCAGTGATGCTGTGTCAGCTAGGGTCTCTTCCAAGTATCCCATCTTACAGATGAGAAACCCACACTCTTTGACTTTATTAATAATCTCATTTTGAAATTTTGCATTACTGGTATTGGGACCAGCACCTGGCACACACCGAGGAGTATTCTGCCGCTGGGTCACATCCTTCACCTTTTCATCGGGCATTTATGCGGCACACATCTTTTCTAGTAATTAGTAATCTTACCTGAAGAACATTCTTCAGTGGTCGGTACCTCTGCGCTGCTATGGTAACCGTTGTTTTTTTTTTGTTTGTTTTTTGGGGGGGTGGTGGTGTTTGTTTGTTTGTTTCTTTTGTTTCGTTGCAAATCACTGCCTTTGCCCGTCTCCTTACAGTCCTGGCTCACGAATCCCTGTTACTTCTTTCTCTCCGTGGGAGGGAGCTCTGGCGGTCCAGATCTGCCCATGTGTCCTGGACTTTCGCTTCATTCCCCATCACCAACCCTCGTGCCTTAGCCACGCTGCTACCCTGTAACAAATGGTCTCCCCGTCCAATCACACGTCTTCCCCCTGGAGCTGTTTGGCTCTTTTTGAGTATCACATCCCTTGGCTTCCTGCCTCCTGTCCTGTATCCCGTGCTGCTCTTTCTGCTCTGTGACTCTGCCCTCTGGTCTGTGCTGTGAACTCTTTCCAGAAAGGTTCTCTGGCAGCACCGTAGGCCCACGGCACACTGAGGGACACATTCTCTTTTCTGATTAGCTTTTTAAATTAGCATAAAATGCAATGGGCTCCGCTGTGGCATGTTCATGGGCACGTTGTGTTTGCTGCCTCTTCCCCGCCCCCCAGTCTCTTTGCTCATCCCTGAAGCCCTCCTTCTGGTTATATAACCCTTTTCCAGTCCGCCAACCGTCTCTTAATTGTTTCACCACTCACGGTGCCCCCTCTAGCCCCAGGGAGATTTAACAGCACTTTTTTATTTGCATTGGCAAGTTTGAACACACCTAAAGAACAAACAGCTGATTTTGTTTTGTTTTTTCCCAGTATGAAACCACAGACAAGCACCTTTCTCCTGACGGCCAGTACGTCCCCAGAGTTCTGTTTGTGGGTAAGTGGGGTCCCAGGGGCATAAGACACACCGAAGATTATGCAGCTGCAGCCACATCCTGTCTCCCCCAACATCACACCTCCCGTCCCTGTCCCAACCTCACCAGTCACATCACTGTGAGCAAGGTCACCAACCTCTAGCAAGGGGAGTGGCATTCTGGGCGGGAAAAACCGCTAAGTGTCACATATACTTTCATCAGAGCGCCTGAACTGCTATCTCCATAAATACTCCTCTCTTCCTCTGTTTATTTTAACTCCCATCTTCTGCTCCAAGCACATCTGGGAAGGCAGGGCCCTGCTTTCATCATTGGCCACCAATTTCCCAGCTTCTGCTTGCTCGTTAAGTATTAGCGTGGCAGAGCTACATGCTTCTGCTCGTCATAAAAGCCCAGTGTGATCCTGTCATAGGTTCTCCATAAGTGTTAATTGAGTAGCTTCACAAATATACGACGTTTGGCTTTAACCAGACATAGCCACTTAAATTGTGATCAAGCCCGCTGCCCAGCAGAGCCCATCAAGTGGGCAACTGGGGTAATTCATCAGAGCTTGCACTGAAAGCGGAAAACAGGGCGGAGAGAAGCGAATGATGGGGCAAAGAGCCAGAAGGGATGGATTAGAGCACTCATTTGCAGAAAGGTCTGAGCACCAGGAGCAGCCTGGGGCTTGTCTAGCTGTGCCTTGAATGGGATTTCCCTTAAAGCCTCCTGGATGTTTCTGAGCACATTCATCCGCAATCCTTGCCTTCAGTCACAGCACAAATCCCAGGTGCTAACTTGTAAAGCTCACTGGTCCTCCACGCTGGCAGAATGTTAGAATCCTGTGAAGGTTTGAAAGAGGCCGCTGCCCTTAAACCAGTGCCACCACGGTTTTTAAGAGCCTCCAGGCAGTTTGAGTGTGTAAGGCCTTGTGTGAATCTTATCAGAAGGCCAGCTGTGTCTTTGCATCCTTCATGTGGAGGCATCATTGCTAAGTCTTTGTTGAACAAATGGATCTCTCTGCTTCTGGTAATTCATTGTCTGTCGGTCCTGGCCGAACACTTTAAAGTGACAAAGACAGTCCCCTCCAGGATGTGGCTGACCGCAAACGCCCAGCTGGTTCTCACACGTCGTCTCCCCGTTTCAGGACCTTCACTTCACCAGCCCTCTTTTCCAGCTTTAGGAATCTAGCTCAGGGTCTTGTGGGCACTCGGCGAATGCTCTGCCGTCAAGCCCCACCCCACCCCTCAGCCACGCCTTTCAAACCAAGTATCTAAACCTCTCTACACTCCCTTCCTGTTCTTCCAATGTACCAAGCCTTTAAAGTCCCCTGCTCGCACTAATTACCTAGTTTCAACTTCATAAAAGTATGACAGAAAGAATGTGTTTGTTTGGGGGTTTCCTTGTTGTCTTTTGCTTTTTGAGACAGTTTTACGTAATCCAGGCTGACCTCAAACCCTCTATGTAGCCAAGAATAACCTGAACCCTCCTACCTCTAGGCCCAAGTAGTACTGAGATTACTGGCATGCCCCTCCATGCTCAACTTGATAGATGGATTTAAACCTAGAGGAATATTTAAAGAGAGATAAGGGGTAATTCTTAAGTCTTTTTTTTTTTAATGCAGCTGATTAACCACAAAGTATTGAAAAATGGAAGTAGAAAGCACCATGGGCAATTGTCTGATCCAGCTGCGCTTAGGGACTGGCTTTATTTGGTTTAAAGAAAGAAAGATTGGGCTATAGCTCCATCGGCAGAGCGCATATCTAGGATGGGCAAGCCCTGGGTTTCCTGGTATAAACTGGGTATGGTGGCTCCGGTCTAAAATTCCAGCACTTGGGAGGCTGAGGCAGGAAAATTATAATGAGTTTGGGATAAACCTCATGCACATAGTAAGTTTCTTGCTAGCCTGGGCTACAAAGTGAGACTCTGTCAAAAACAAACAAGCAAACAAAAAAAAATAATAATTAAATAAACAAAAAGGCAGAGAATCAATCTGACCCAGATTAAACTTGTACCCCACCCTCCAGCCCCAGCCCACAAATCACATGCTTCATGCCATCTCTCACTTTCATACACCCCAATGGAGCATAGCCATAACCAAGTATCAGCATGAAAGTATCCAGTCGCACCGCCCAGAGGTGATGGCTGCACGCCTTTAATCCCAGACTCAGGAGACACAGAGGCAGGCCCATCTGTGAGTTCGAGGTCAAACTGGGTTACAGAGTGGGTTCCAGCATAGCCAAGACTGTTTCACTGCAGGGTCAACCTGGGGGGAGGGATCCAATTACCAAAGCTGTTTTTTAGGGAAGACAGTCAGCTGCAATGAAAGCCCTTTGAAATCTCAGGGTAGTCCTGTCGTAAAGAATACTGGGTTTTCGCAAGGAAAACCCCCCAAAATATGCTCTGTCCTACATTCAGGGCACTTAGGTAGGATGGCGGGGCTCAACATCTTTCCCAAAAACAGCACCGTGCAACTAGCTGTTGAATGTTTCCTGAACTGCTTTGCCCTGCTCGGGTGGTAACTCCCGGGGGGGGGGGGGGAGGGGTCGGGTAGCAGAACAGACTAGGCAGAGCATGGGCACAACAGCTTCAACACACAATCCGGGCTCCCCGGAAGCGGAAGTGTTCCATCCTCACTCTGTCTTTGCAGACCCGTCCCTGACAGTGAGGGCGGACATCACTGGGAGATACTCAAACCGTCTCTACGCTTACGAACCTTCGGACACAGCTCTGTGTAAGTGTTGCCTCCAGCTTGGTCAGAGATGCCTACTGCGTTAGCGATGGGGAGAGACCCCGACTGAGATGGGCTAGACCTCTGCCCTGGGGTGCCAGAGAACCAGTTTGACCAGTCTGACTCCGAATAACTTTTTGCACCGTCTAACAAAACCTTCTGTTAGATGGTGCAAACTTAGAATAGTAATTACACGGGGTGAGGGGAGCCTGGACCTAGAGAATGTGAGCGCTCCCACAGCTCATTAACAACGTCTCCAGTACAAAGGGCAGCATGTTCCAAGCGTGGGCATTTATGAGACTCAGGGTTTGTTTTCATAAGATGGAACTCAAAGTTAAGGGCAGACACCCAAACAGGTAACATCGCCATGCCTTCCCTGCTTAATAATTACTTGCAGGAGTGAATAGTAGCTACTCAGAACATCACCCAGATACCGAGCTCCATTTCACCGATGGGATAGTGATCCTAAGCTTGGGCTCTGGAGCTGCAGTTTCATACTTATCCACTGTGTGACTTAATAACTCAGCCTCTCTGAGCCTGTCCCGTTGCTAAGTGCAACGTTGTTGTGGAGATGGGCGGATTCATCTGTACAAACACCCTTGCTGGGCTGACAGTTCTCTTTGGTACGCCACAGGCTTCTAAAATAACTTGCAGTAGCTGCACACACCTGCTAACATTTCTCATGAACATGATTTAAAATCTGCTTCTAAGCCAGGTGTGGTGGTCCATGTCTTTATTTCCAGAACTCAAAGGTAGATCTCTGTGAGTTCAAGGCCATCCTAATCTACATAACAAATCCCAGATGAGCCAGAAGTACATGGCGGGCCTCTGTCCCAATAACTAATTAAGTTAAAATTAAGTTAGTTTCTACACTAACCAAAACAGTTTGCTGCTGACAGAGCTTGTGCAGCTCTGAGGAAACTAGAAGAGAGGAACCACTAAAGAGCTGAGACCACTGAGAGCTGGGTTGCCAATGTTTTACTCTGCTACAGAGAGAAAAATAACAATAAGATTACCAACTGTTCCCCCTAAGACAATAGGACACTCTGTCAAACAATGGATCCAGTCCCCAAGTGCCAGGGTTTATTGTACCACCAGCGTCTGTCTCAGTTATTTTTCTATTGCTGTAAAGAGACCCCATGACCAAGGCAACTTGCTATGGAAGGAGAAGTTCACTGGGGCTTGCTTACAGTTTCAGAGGATGGGAGCATGGCAGCAGGCGGGCAGGCACGGTGCTGGAGCTGAGAACTCACATCTGATCCACGAGCAGGGGTCAGAGAAAGAGAGAGAGAGAGACAGACAGACAGACAGACAGACAGACAGACAGACAATGGTCTCAGTCTGAGCCTTGGGGACTCAAAGCCTGCCTGCCCCCAGGGATAAATCTCCAACAAGGCCACACCTCCTAATCCTTCCCAAACAGTTCCTCCAACTAGGGACCAAGCATCCGAATATTTGAGCCTGGGGAAGGGGAGGGGGGCATGCTCATTCAAACCGCACTGTCATTTCTAATGGAACTTAACTGTCCTAATTTTTGTCCCGCCAGTGCTGGACAACATGAAGAAAGCTCTGAAGCTACTAAAGACAGAATTGTAGAGCCAGCTGTGCGTTGCACCAGGTGATGAGGAGGCAGGAGCACTGTGAACTCGCTGATTACATCACAGTTTAATGTTACAACACATGTATTTTTTAAACACCCATACGCATATGTGGGGAGACAATATATTGTTATCTACTACAGTGAAGCATGGTTTTCTAAAAAATAAAGTCTTGTGAGTACTCCAACTGAAGGGTTGTTTCTATTGGTTTTTTTATAGAAAAAGCTATTTGGACCAGCCTAGCACAGCAGGCCATGGCTAAAATCCCTATAGGGGTGGGATCACCGTCCTGAATTGGAGGCTGTGAGTTTGAGCTACAGTGGGATGCCATCTCAAAAAACGGGAAAAAATTTAATTTTTTCAAATTAAAAAAGTAAGGAAGGAGGGAAGGAAAGGCTATTTGGTTCCGGTTTGCTCACTAAACGGGAACATTGAACACATGAAATGCTCATGAAGGAGCAGGACAAACAGTGAAGATAGAAACTATCGAAGTCATTGCTGTCATCCTGACATGCTACAGGGGATTCTTGACAAGACATGAGCTTACCCTGCAGAAGCAATAAACAGCACATGCTTTAGTGTAAAGGGTAATACAGGAAGACCACACACACACACACACACACACACACACACACACACACACACTAAAAATCACATGTAGAAGCAGCCATTCCCATACTAGTAGAAACCCCTAAGCACACTCTCAGTAGTCCAATTATAGACAGATTTTTTGCATCTCAGAGAATCTCCAGCACGTCTGATGGCTGTCTGCAGAAGACTCGCCCACTGGAACAGTCACTGGCGGGCCTGTGCTTACCCACACTGTGAGAACGCCTTAGAGATACAGAGAAGTGCCCTTCTCCAGGTGCAGTCTGGAGGAGCCAGAAAGCAGGCCTGGAGCGGGCTCAGACTGACTGCCTCAGCTCATCCGAATGTGGCTGGGAGGAGGCAAAGGGCAGCAGGGGTCTGTGGTGAGGTCGAGGTCAGAGGTCACTGCTGTTTGGAGAAGGAAGGGAGTACAGCACAGGGCAGTCCGCCACACTGAATCTCACAATGTCGAGTGGACTTCCTGCCCATCACCCGCAGTGGCCCCGGTGCCCTCAGGGTGGGAAGCATCACTGGATAGCTCCTTTGGCAACTGTTGATTTTCCCAGAGTGCTTTGCTGCCTCTCACAGGGATGGTGACACAAAAGTCTATGGTAAAACATCATGGGGGCATGAGTTTACCCCTTACAGTCGGGGAACTTGCTTGTCTTGGAGAAGGAAAAGCATTCCATTCAGGAAGCTAGAGGGCAGGCAAGATGGCTCTGCAGGAGAGAGCATCTGCCCCTGAGATCTGAGTTCCGCTCCTGGGATCCGTATGGTGGACGGAGACAATAACTCCTGCAAGTTGTCCCCTGAGCTGTACATGTGAGCCATGGCATGCACGTACACACACACACACACACACACACACACACACACACAAACACACACACACACCACAAAATGAGAAAATAAAGGTTTGGGATGGCTCAAAGGTTAAGAAGATGTATTGCTACTGCAGAAGACCCAGGTTCAGTTCCCAGCCACAAGGTGGCTCACACTGTCTACAGCTCTAGTTTCAAGGATGTCACACATTCTTTTGGTCTCCATGGGCACTGAGCACACACAGTACACAAATGTGAATACAGGCAAGACATGCATTCACATAAAATAAAAATAAATAAATCTTTAAAATTCTTTGAAAGATAATGAGCATGAAAAACCAGAAAAGACCATATGAAAAGAACTGAAGGTTCTGTCTTACATTTATAACTACAGGAAATATGAAATACAAGCACCAAAAATCTACAAGAGCTGGAGATTCCACTCTGAAAGCACTTGTTGTAGAACTTGCTCATAGAAACATTGACAGTACCCACTTTTTCTGCCAAATCCAACTCTCATCATAGCATCTTCTATTTGCGCTTAAATTTCAATAAGAATGTACCTAGATTACTTCTTTGACAGATAGTCATAAGACTGGAGCCGATTGTGGAGGGTATTGTGTCTGAAAGCTGAAGAAAAATGTCAATAAACATGGGAGTGGAAAATGGTATGAAAAACAGACCAGTGGTGCCTCAAAGCACTGACTGTGAAGTAAGAACCCATAGTCATGCATGTCTGTGTATAAGAAGTAAGAACCCATGGCCATGCATGTCTGTGTGTATAAGAAGTAATATCCCATGGGCATGCATGTCTGTGTGTATAAGAAGTAAGCTCCCATGGCTATGCATGTCTGTGTGTGTTAAGAAGTTAAGGTCTACCAGGCTGAGAGCTGAGCCAATCTGGAGACTGACAGTTGCGGTCAGTGGTCCTGATCCTGCCCAGCCAATGAGGAGTGACCATGAGACCCCGCCTGAGACCCTAGCAACAGGTACTGTCAGAGGTGCCTCGCCAATGAGGAGCAGCTATGCAGTGGCAGTGTCGATGGATCAGAACACACGGGTGCTGGGGGGCTGTATAAGTTTCTACCCATTGGTAAACAAACGTGTCTACTGTTTTTTCTTTCACCTGACTCCTGGGGTCTGTGTTGTTGACTCCGTATCTCTTCCCCCTCCCCCACTCTGGGAGCCTTTAGGACCAAGCAACATCTGACTCCCAGAACAGGAACTTCTCGCATAGGCTTTGAACTCCCTAGTAGAGTCCTTTTTTTTTCTGTTGCAGCTCTAATTTTTGGGTTTTGCCAGAACAGGCTCTAGTGTCTCCCTCTCCTCACCCGTGGTGCTGGACAGCGCCGCCCAGATAGTGTATTTGGGTGAGAAGGCCCCTCCATGTTGTGTGTGCTCGGTCCCTTCAGGCAGGTAAGCGTCGGGACCCCCATTCTTTCCTTCTGTGTTGTCCGTCATGCCTGTCTGCCCGTGCAGTTAGGAAGGCACTTGTTTTTTCTGTCCCTCCCACGTTGACTGTCATCTTCTGTCTGAGAGATGCTCACCTCTCCTTCACCCCCCCCCCCCCCCCCGTCCATATCTAATCTCTCCATGACATCCAATGATGAGGAGACAGACAGCTCAAGCCCTCAAGCCCTCAAAGCATGCTAAGGAGAACAAGGCCACAGTTAAGACCGTGTGTGCCTCTCCCCATCAACCCCACTTCTGCTGCAATACCCTTGGACTAAAGTGTCACAATGTCCACCAGCCTCTGAAGGCAAAAGTTCCCTTGCACTGCAGTATGACCCCTAGCCACCACAGACTCCCTCCCCAGGCCTCCGAGGCTGGCAGAAGTCTTTCCCATCAGCCTGGGATAAAATGCCATTAAAAGTTGTGCTGGTTGCCATTCTTAGCTGGAAATCGGCTTATGATGATCAAGCAGAAGCTCAAGCAGGAACACACCTCTTAATTAACATTCCCGTGACCCCTGACATGCTCACTAGATGAGGTAACTGTGTCCATCCCATCAATCAGGCACAGGTTGGCCATCAAGCCTACTACCAACAGGTTCCTGGACTGTCTCACCAGAGGCTAAGAGAGACCCTCATCTGGCCTTACAGAGGTCCTTTTCCATATGAACTTTCTCAGTTTTGATGACAAGCAGCTCAGCCAGGCCTACAAGGGGCGTCTCCGTCAAGGAACGCACCCCCCCCCTGCCCTTGGTGAGTTGGAGGGATCCTATCTCCCTCCAATGACAGCCACCACCCCACTGCTTACTGGTGGGTGGGTGACGGTATGCTTGTGTTTTTCCTCAGACTGTCACATTGTCAATATGGGTCCCGAATAAGAGATGTGTACCCGGCCATGGATCAGCCTGCTTCCACCAAGGAGGGAATGACCCAGGATGGGTAATGTATATACTCACAAGCAAATTGGTTTATTTTAGTTAAATCAGACAAGGGCAGAGGTTATAGCCTTTGACTCTGTTTTTTTTGAAAAGTTTGGCATAATATAAAAAGGCTACTTGATCACTCCAGGATGATCACATATGCATTTAATTGACGGGGTGGTATTGTTAATCCTTGTGCTCTTTAAATGTCTCCTGCAGCGTATTAGACAGCAGGGGCAGCAACTGAGGTGACTCTTCAGAGTTAATGGCTCTTAGGTTTGAGAATGAATTTCCAAGCTAGTTTTCCTAAGGAGAGTAGTGACCAGTGGCTGGGCTCTGATTTCCCCCTTTCCAACTGTGTCCCGATGTAACAGGACATCAAGGAAAACTTCAGCATGGGGCTGGAGAAACGGCACAGAGGTGAGGAGCGCTCCAAGTTCAGTTCCCAGCACCCACATCAGGCAGCTCACAACGGCCTGTGATTCCAGATCAGGGGGTGCAGCACCCTCTTCTGGCCTCCTTCGGCTCTGTTCTGACATGCACATAACCTACCCTCAGAGACACATACACAATTAAAAATTAATTGTAAAAATTAAACAAAAAATAAAAACAGGGCTAGCCCCAACCTCTCCACATCTCCTTCCCTCAAACACTGTTTGCATAACCCCCCTCACTATCCAGAAGCCTGGTAAAGTTGGTCTTTAATGCTCACATGTCATCTCCGATAAGAACATTCCTACATAAGCAGTCATGTCTATACGGTTACAGTGTGCTTTTCTATGAACTACTTGGTGGCAATGCACTCCTGTCTCAGTATTCTCTCAGCTAAAAGGTAAAATAGTTTCACATATCTAATGTATTTATAAAGTGATGAATAAACGGAAGCAAGGTAAAACAAATATTTAAGAACACCAGGAAAGAGGGTTTGGCTCAAAGAAACCAAGAACTGAACGCCTGGCCTGGTTTCCTCTCCCTGTCTGAAGGGTCCTGCCTGGCAGTTATTTTCAAGGTTGAGCATGCAGAACTGGTTTTCATAGTAAACACAGTGCTTCCCACAGAGCACAGGATCAGAGTTGAACTTCACCCGTGGTGAGCTCGGATGTGAGGTGAGCGGTGACAGCCAAACCTTTTCCCTTTGCACTAGCTGTATTTTCCTGAGCTCAAATTTCACCGTTAACACCAAGGCCGATGGAGCAAATGCTCTAAGGAACATTCCTCTAAGTGGAATGTGTAAACAGGGACTCAGAACTGCTTAGGCAGTGAGCTCCTTTCAAGGAGATAACGGTTTGGGTGGAAGGGACCTTCTTTTGGTGTAACTTGAGATCTGCACTCTGTGCTGCAGACATCACACTCTGTGGCTGCAGGTACACAGGGGAGCACCCATCCTGCAGTCAGGAGGAGCCTTACACAGGGGAGCACCCATCCCGCAGTCAGGAGGAGCCTTACACAGGGGAGCACCCATCCTGCAGTCAGGAGGAGCCTTACACAGGGGAGCACCCATCCTGCAGTCAGGAGGAGCCTTACACAGGGGAGCACCCATCCTGCAGTCAGGAGGAGCCTTACACAGGGGAGCACCCATCCTGCAATCAGGAGGAGCCTTGCCTGGGCTCTGTAGGCTCACAGCTGGGCCATTCATGGAACAGGGTGGGATAGACCTGTTCAGAGGGCTTTCCAGTAGATACTGAGACACCATGAAACAGCAGATGTGTGTCTTCAATCAGAAACAAACAGGGATCACAACAGCATCCTAGGACAGGGCGGATAATCACCCCATTCACATCCTAGGCAAAGAAAAAGTCAGATTCATTTGACATAGAATACCCCGGCTCTTAAACATGTGCATGCCGACTGCCTACTCATTTATTATTTATTGTTCACTTATATAACCTGGCAATTTCAAAATCCTAATGATTCACCCTGGGGTGTGGTAGCACATGAGTCAGGACAATCACCTTAGGTCTGAGGCTAGCCTGGGATACATAGAAAATTCAAAAGCAGCCCAGTATATATAGCAAGACCCTGTCTCAAAAGACAAAATCATAACTAACAGAAATACTCATCAGGGCCGAATCCTGATTTTAAAAACAAAAGCAAAAAGAAATTTATTTTTCATGTGTGTGTGTGTGTGTGTGTGTGTGTGTATGTGTATGTGTATGTTGGGGTATGTAGGCACCTGAGGAGTCCAGAGGCATTAGAAGCCCCTGCAGCTACTAGAGTTACAGACCACTGTGAGCCACCAATGTGGGTGCTGGGAACAGAACTCGGGTCCTCCCCAAAAGCAGAGTGCTTTCTGGACAGCTGATGCATTTCTCCAAGCCCCCAGACCCTGATTCCGACTGTGACCTCAACAGAGCCATGGCAGTAAAAGCACAAACCGAGCCCCAGGCAAGTTTATGTTCTTTGTGTGACGGCCTTTCCGCTGGCAGTCATTTACCCAAGGTGAGCCGCTAGAGGTCCAGAACCTTCTAAGATATTCCGAGCTGCAGATGAGTAAACAGGAAAAATACAGGATGACTGAAGAGGAAAACAGAGTCCCTTCCACAGGCTCCCTTCCTCCCTTCGAGAGTCACATCCCCATCTTATGGCATGCGATGTTCCACCCAGGGGGCCGCAGTCTCAGCCTCGAAACAGCAGGGCTCTGCTTCTGCACAGGGCTGGCCAGCAGAGAGCCTCAGAGGAGTCAGAACAACGAACTGCACCAACGTGCATCAATCCGGGGACCAGCCCTTTACCAGCCGTCTACATCTAAAACTTGACACCCCCCAAAAATAAAATCACCAGTGATGTATCACACGCTGCTCCACACCGAGACAGGAAATGAACCGTCACTAATGGGAAATAATGCGTGTACTCTTCCCATATAAACACCAGTGACTTCTCCAAATAAATACAAACACCTTCCTCATCGTGCAGGTAACAGGGACCACCGAAATAGCTCAATCAGGCATTTAGGAGACAGGTGGTTGGTCAGTAGTGACAGTGCTTGCCACCCAGGCTGATGACCAAGTTTGAGCCCTAGAACCGAGATGGTAAAAGAGAGATCCAATTCTTACTAACCGTCCCCCCCCACACACACACAAGCACACATATATACTTACAAACTGTCCTCTGACACACACCCCCACACACACAAGCACACATATATACTTACTTTTAACCTAAGGATTTGAGGATAACTACCAGTAGACATCATTGCTAGGAGTTTATTTCCAAGGCCTGATTAAACACTATTTTTGGTGTACAAAAAAGCAGAGGGAAAAATGCTGACTTACCTTAGTTTATCAACGCTCCCCATACCATTTTTTGATTCAAACACCCATACACAAAGAAAGGTTTCAGCCTTTAATTTTTAATGTAACATACAGAGCCACAAACACCATTTCTCTCTCAGCTTACGGGAGGTAGCACATTTAAATATGTCTGGATTTGACAACTCACTGTCACAATACCAAGAAATGTCAATAAACAGTTATTTTTTAAGAAAATCAAACATCTTTTTGTTGCACGGGCCAACATATTGATTGCACGTTGCCTACAAATACAGTGTTTTGAACTTCAAATTATTAAAAAAAAAAAGGTCAGATTATCCTAACTCATCCCATTTTAAAAGCTGAAGATAACTGTCACAGCCCAGAACATTTTCCAAATGGCACCTCCTTTACCTTTACTATAAAAGTCAAAAACTAAAGTTCAGTTTCCTAAAGACACAGCTATTTCTGGAATACACGGGTGTAATCATGGAAGACTACGATAACTAAATGATCACTTAGATGCTAACACTTTTCACTACAAGGTAGCTTTCCTAAAAAGACATAAAGTGCAGGGAACTTAGATCTCTCCTAAGGACTGAACACCGCGGACTTCTTCCTGGCTTCATGAACTTCAAGTGTCTTCGGGGGAGCCTCCCGCACAGCACGGTGCTCTGCACAACTACCGGTGAGATGGAGATTGGGGTTCACAATGTCATTTCCCCAGGGGTGCCACACACAGTTTTACAGCACGTAAAAAGGCTAAGAAAGGCCACAGTGGACAGCGCCAGACACCAAGAACTGTGACTACAGAGACCACTGAGGGTCAGCGAACACCATGAATTTCAATTGCCTTTTCAGCAATGTCAGCAAAAAAATGTAAGAGTGAAAATATTTAGTTCCACTGTTGACAGTGTAGTTTTCAGATACTGTTTCCTGTCAAATGAACAAATTACTTTAACTTAAGATTAGAGAAAGTGAGGAAGATGGGAAAACACGGGAGAACTTTTCCTGGCTTCCTCCTCAAAGGAAAGCGCTGGGGTTGGCGCGAGGGTCTTTCTGATTCCTGTATCTGTAGGTCAGCCAAACGCCCAGGATCTGGAATTAAAAGAAGAAGAAGAGGTGAGCGCTGTGCAGATTTAGTTCCTCAACCAACAGAATACCTGAAACTTCTGAATTACTTTTGCATGCTTTCTGTTCAAAGAGGAGAGACTGGGCACGTTGAAGGACAGGCCCTACTAACGCGGCGATGTGACCACTGCCTGGAACCTGCAAATGCTACTTTCTGAGCATTTGCTCAGATTATGCAAGGAAGACATGCTCCAGGAGGGCTCAGAGGAGCTGAGAGGGCCGAAGTGAGAGGACAGAGATAAAGTCTGCTGCCAACGACGACCGGGCAAGAAGGCAGGGGTGCCGCGTGCTCCACACTGGCCGCTGGACCCGAAGCTGGTGCAGCAAGTTTGACTTTTCCATTTTGATAAGCAGCCAAGTGTGAACTCTGCGTGGTTTTCACATTTATTTTTATTGTTCTTAGTTATATGCATATGTGCAAATGTGTCCCCAAGAGTCCAGAGGCCCTGGAGCCCCCTGGAGTTTGAGTTAGAGTGAATGTGAGCTGCCAGACCTGGATGCTGGGAACCAAACTGGGCGAACCTAAATCTTCATCTCCAATGGTAACTGCCCTAAGCAGCAAGCATTACCGACCCGAGCCACCTCTCCAGCCTGTCAAATATTTTTAATAATATCTAGAGTTAGTTATTCAGTCAAAAGTCGGTGGTAGATTCTTCTCAGAAGGCAATTTACCAATACTGAATCTCAGTCGTTTTTTCTTTTTGTGACAGGCTCTCACTATGCAGGTAGATCAGGCTAGCCGGGAACTCAGAGAGATCCACCAGCCTCTGCTTCCCAAGCGCTATGATTAAAGGTGTGAACCACCAAACCCTGCTTATCAAGATCCCTTGACTATTCCTATACTCTGTTGCATTTTATACCTAGAAGTGCATGCCTAGGGGAGAGTACAATGGCATTCCACACACAGGAGTCACCTGTGCAAACATGCACACGTTAAAAGGAAATCAGGTGGCTGGGCTGACCAGGTAGTGCAGCAGATGAAGGCACTTGCTGCAGAGCCTCATGACCCGAGTCCCCGGGCTTCGGTTCCCAGGACAAGACAGGACAGACTCCCCAAAGCTGTCCTCTGACCTCTACACATGCATCACGGCACAAGGGCACCCACACCCAGGTAGCTAAAGAAATGTACGCCAGGCGGCAGTGGTGGCTCACACCTTTAATCCCAGCACTCAGGAGGCAGAGGCAGGCGGATCTCTGAGTTCCAGGCCAGCCTGGTCTACAGAGCGAGTTCCACTATGCCCAGGACTACATAGAGAAAACCTGTCTCCCAATGAATGAATGAATGAATGAATGAATGAGTTTTTCTAAGAGGTGGGATGAGATGGCCTTGGGGGGGGCACTTTGTGCAAAGCCTGAAGACCTGAGTTCAATCTTCAGAAACTACATGGTGGAAGGAGAGAGCAGATTCCACAGGACTGTCCTTGTGACCCTGACACTCCCACTGTGGCACAAGCATGTTGCCCCCCCAGTACACACACATAATAAGTATGATGCAATTTTTAAAAACTAAAAAGTAAATGGCCAACAGATTAAGCAATCCCATCCACGGCTAAATTCTAACCATATAAAACACAGATTTTTTTTTTTTGCAGTTTGTAAGGACATATGTTGCTCCTCTAAGTAGCCTAATCTGCTTCTGTAGCTATACATACAAACTCTGTCAGAAGAATTATCTGATCTCCATTCTTCTGCTCTCTGTTTAAAACAGATGCGTGATGTGGGCAGCTCATGCTTCAAAAACAATGGCACACTGTCTTTTTCTAACAGCGCATAATATGACATATATAGTACTTTATCAGTGGTTACGAAACACTAGCTTCCAGTACTGCTCACAGCTCCCCAGCCATGCACCGGCTGGAGCTTCCCCTCATGCTCCCCGGCCGGCTCTCTGCGGCCGTTATTTCCCTGGCAGGGTGAGACACACGGCAAGATTGCTCTCTGTGGCCGTTATTCCCAGGCAGGGTGAGACACAAGGCAAGATTAAACAACCTGCCCCCAGGCCACACGATGAGCAAGCAGGTGCCATTCAGCTTCTGCTCCCGTGTCGGACTCACATCTCAATGACCCAGCACACTGTCGGGAAGCAAAAAGGGCCCAAAGACTAATCAGAAACAAACATGGTGAGGGCCAGAGAAGCTGCTCAGCACTGAAGAGCGCGCATGCTACCCTCGCACTCAAGAGCGCGCATGTTACCCTCGCACTCAAGAGCGCGCATGCCACCCTCGCACTCGAGAGAGCGCATGCCACCCTTGCACTCGAGAGAGCGCATGCCACCCTTGCACTCGAGAGAGTGCATGCCACCCTTGCAGAAGGCTGGAGTTTGGTTCCCACAACAATGCCTCACAACCATCTACACTTCCACATCCGGGGATTCTGACGCCCTCTTCTGGCCTCCACTGACATCCACACCCATGTGTGTGTACCTACACATAGATACACATTCACGTACATAATTTAAAAACCTTTCAAAGCTGCTTATAAATAGCCTTGTGTATTCCTTTTACGTGGTTATATAATTGTTTCCATGAAATAAAATATTGCACATGGAATTTTTTTTGCTAAAAGGGAATTTTAAAGCCATCGTGGTGGCTCTCACCTATAGCACCAGTGCCCAGGAGGCTGAGACAAGGAGAATCTGAGACCAGCAGGGACTATGTAGTAAGAGCTCTGCCTCAAAATCAAAACTTTTTTGATACATATTATCAGCTCAGAAGTATCAAGAACTGTTCACACATATTGAGAATGTAATACAGAATACAGAATTAGCATTCCAGTTCTACTTACTAACATACGAAAGTTTACTAATGCAAGCAAGTACATTAATGTAATATAAACATACGCAAACCACGAGAGTAGCTGCCTACAGGTTTTAGAAAGGCAGTAACGGGGAAATGGGGGATGGCTTCCGCTCATCCTCGCCAGCCTGCCTCCGCCTTCGCAACGGCAGCTGCATCCCCACCTGCAGCAAGCGGCCACCAGGCGCAGCGCATTTCCACTGCCAGCTAGGGCACACATACACTCCCTAACGTGTCTGTCCATCACAGCTCCTCTCTAGCTGCCGTCTCGCTCCTCTCCCGCTTGTTCTGCCTGTCTGTCTGCCTGCCTGTCTGTCTGCCTGCCTGCCTGCCTGCCTGTCTGCCTGCCTGCCTGCCTGCCTGCCTGTCTGTCTGCCCGTCTGTCTGTCTGTCTGCCTGTCTGTCTGCCTGTCTGTCTGCCTGCCTGTCTGTCTGTCTGCCTGCCTGCCTGTCTGTCTGTCTGCCTGCCTGTCTGCCTGCCTGTCTGTCTGTCTGCCTGCCTGCCTGCCTGCCTGCCTGCCTGCCTGCCTGCCTGTCTGTCTGTCTGTCTGTCTGTCTGTCTGTCTGCCTCTCTCATGTCCCCACTCTGGGATGGCCTTTCACTCTTTTGCTCTCCCCTTCCCCAATAAATCTCTTGCGTTAGCTCTGTTGATTGGTGTAATTTCTCAGTGGCACACCTTGGCAGGGCCCGCCAAAGGTACCCTTTCTGCCACTTTTTATCCTTTCGGTTTCAGAGGAAATTTTTTTTAAGGTTGAAAGTAACACAATTTCTATGTCGTTTTTATTTTTGAGATTATAACTACATTTCTCCCTTCCTTTCTTCTATCCAATCCCCCCATATATCCCTTGCCACTCTCCTTCAAATTAATGGCCTCTTCTTTCACTCATTATTATTGCGAACATAAATATATATGCATATTCCTAAACATAACCTTCTCGGCCCATATTATGTTATTCTATGCATGTTTCCAGGGTTGACCATTCGGTATTGGATAACGAATTAATGAGCTCTTCTTTGGGAAAGGTCACCTCACTTCTCCCACTCCCAGCTTCTTCAGTTACAGGGGCATTTTTTTTTTTTTCAGAGACAGGGTTCCTCTGTGTACCCTGGCTGGCCTAGAACTCATTCTGTAGACTAGGCTGACTTTGAACTCAAAGATTCGCCTGCCTCTGCCTCCCAAATACTGGGATAAAGACAAGCACCTCCACTGCCCAGCAACAGGGGCAATTCTTAAAAACAAATCTTTACGTGCATATATGCCTACGTGTGTTATAGTATTAATATATATTAAGTATAACATATATCAAGTAACGGTCTACTTATGACAAAATTAAACTATAATTTATCATATAAGTTTAGAAAGATGGAGAAAGACCGAGTCAATCCAGCCTAACCTCTTCACTTAGTACAATTTGCTCAGGGTAACAGATCAAGAACGGCACCCATCATAGAGATCATCCTAGATTTGCCAGACCTCCTATTCCAGGCTGGGCTGTTCCCATCACAGGGTGACCTCAGGAAAAGAGAGCTCTGGAATATTAGCTGTTATGCTGACACGCAGTGCTGTGTCTTCTTGACAGACAAAACACAACTCCCAGTGACCCAGGGGAAAGACAAACCTCTGTAAAACTGAAGAAGAGGCCAATGCCACCAACGAATCTCAAGACCTCTCCAGCATACGCTTCGATTATGGGGGCACATGGCAAGCATTTGTGTCCAATTTTATTACAGCTCTGTATCAATAAGAGAAAAGGCCCATTAGTTACTTCAGAGTACATTTATAAAAAACAGTCACATTAAAAACTGCACACACGCACGCGCCGCGCACACACACACACACACACACACACACACACAAACAAAATTCAGGTCTAGGGTGCTACATCCAATTTGATTGTGGATTTTAAATTGTGTGTAAATTTCCAAGATGGCCATTTCCTGTACATGCTCTGTAGTATCCATCCCCATCCAGGAACTATAAATATGATGTGCAGGTGTCCAGACTACACTGTGTAAGACTCCATCCTACCAGAACAGAGATTCCCATGCTGATATGCATGCATTGTAAGACACCCGGCTGTGGTGGTTTACATAAGGATGTCCCCCATAGGCCCATATATTTGAAGGCTTAGTCACCAGGGAGTAGAACTGTTTGAAAAGGTTATGGATTACCAGGATTGGAAATGTGGCCTTTGTTGGAAGAAGTGTGTCACTGGGAGCGGGTTTTGAGGTTTCAAAAGCCTGTGCTAAACCCAGTTATCTCTCTCTATGGACGTACACACCTGCCTGTAGACCAGAATGTAACTCGCAACTACTTTCCCAGCACCATGCCTGTAAGTCACATTGTCCCCTCCATGGTGATAATGGAATTAACCTCTGAAAAAGTAAGCAAGCCTCCAACTAAATGCCTTCTCCAATAAGAGTGGTCTTAGTCATGGTGTCCCTTCACAGCAACAGACACTGGCTGACAGCCACCAAGGAAACAGGGCAAGGCTACAAGAACAATGAGTCTACAAACAAACACTGAGCAGGAGGACACCAAGCCTGGAGCCATGAGGAAGGGAAAGAGAGCAGGGTAGTTTTGTGTCTCTGACCTTGAGGTGTTGGGCTAGTTAGGAAAGCCAATTTAATACAGACCCCCTTCTTTTGCTAACTCCCTGAAAAACCACATAGACAGAAATCTCCAAGACTGATCATTTCTCCCTCACAATTGGTTTAGGAAAGAGCTGAATGAGAAAGAACTACAGGAAAGAAAATAAGCGCAGTGTGTCTCACTGGACATGGAATGGGTAATTGTGACAGTAGTACATATACAAAATATAACAGGAGCATATGCCAAACAATCCTGAAATATAGTATCAGAAAGGCTACTTCTTCTTTGCTAATCATTATTGAACTGTATGTAACACAATCAAGAAAAAAAAAAAAAGCTCTTATAGTTTGGACTTACAGCCAGGCAGGTGTCATTTGGGTTGTAACTTCGGAAGCCACAGCAGTTCAAGTTCCTCTGGAGGTCATTTCGAGCACTGGCTGTATTGTTCCAACCAACCTCCAGCAGCTGACCCTAGGAAATGCAGTTCATAGATACATTAAAACTTATCATCCCAGCCGGGCGGTGGTGGTGCATACCGTTAATCCCAGCACTGGGGAGGCAGAGGCAGGAGGATCTCTGTGAGTTGGAGCCCAGCCTGGTGTATAAGAGCTAGTTCCAGGACAGCCTCCAAAGCCACAGAGAAACCCTGTCTCAAAAAACCAAAAAAAAAAAAGAGTAGCTGCTACAAGACAAAGGCACAGACACTTTGGAGCTACACAGCAGCCTTTTAAGAAAAGACATCTTGTAACAGCAGTTTTGTTAAGTCTTTCTTAAGGATACAAATGACCAAGACCTGACACTCTTCCCTGAGGTCATCTCCAGGAACCACTCAAGAGCAGGGTAAAACGGCATTCTTGGCAAGAAGAAATATTTGTTCTCCAGTCATTTGATACCAGCACTCAGGAGGCAGAGGCAGGCTATCTCTGTGAATTTGAGGCCAACCTGGTCTACATAGTTCTAGGACAGTCTGGGTTACACAGTGAGACCCTGTATCAAAACAAAAAGAAAAAAACCCTTACTTACCTGTTGGTCCTGATTCAGAGCTAAGCAAGCACAAGACACCGAGAACTGAACAATAAATACAAGGAGGAGAATAATCATATACTGAGGTTACAGGTTAAGGACTGCTTCGTCTGTCATTTATCATTACACCTATTTATTCACTGTATGTATGAGTATATCTGCATGCGCCACGCTGTTCATGAAGAAGACAGCTTGAGGAGTCAACTGTCCTACCTCCATGTGGGAACTGCGGATTGAACTCTGGTCCTTAGATTTGCCTTTACCTGCTGCTAGAAATACTGCAAATGTTCTGGAAGAGCATAAAACAGGAGCATTGACAGTACACTCTAAGCCATTCACCGAGAAACCAGAACAATGTTACCTAAATTCAAAGTGATACACTGTATTATTTTGCTAATACACTGTAACTTTAAATTCATTTCCAAAAATATATAAATAATTATATACAGCAGGCATGGTGGATGACATGTAATCCCCTGGCCTAAGGAGAGGACAGCCTCATCTACAGGGACCCTGTCTCAAAAAGAAACAGAGAGAGAATCAGATTTTGAAAAACTCACATCCAAAATGAAATACAAATTCCGAAACCTGTAAAACAAAAAACAGATCTAGACAAATGTATAAACTCTCTCAAAACTAAACATAAAGAATACACTGCTTAATTCTCAACCAAAGATTAATGTGTTAGGAAGTAACAAAATGAGTTCATTTTAACTCTGAGTTTGCAAAAGAAAATCAGAATTATGCCCAACCTGTAGAACACTATGATGAGGAAGGGTTGGGGATAACTAAACCTAAGGCTTTTTCCTTACAGTTATTCATCCCTACATTGTCTTTCTAAGGGCTGCTTCCTGGCAATGAATTCCCTCGTGATAATATTAAGTTAGCAGCAACCATTGAAACATAATTGACAAGGAGTGAGAACTGTGCCTGATTGAAGTAGCAATCCTGATTTTTTTTTAAAAAGGATACAAAAAATAGCAACACCTGATGATGTTTCACTGCGCCAATCAGTCCCACCAACGCAATCAGGAACAGGAAGATGCCCACAGCGATGACCACACCCACCACCCGGAGACTGGAGATCAGTCCAAAGCCGATACCCCAAGCAGCAATCCCAATGAGCAGCAGACTGACGAGCTGTGGAGAGACGGGAGCGGTTCAATTATACAGGGGCAGCAGTGTCAGGTGTTTACATGGTTCATACGATGGCAGGAGAACCGCAGGATCTCCAGGGTGTTGGTTCCAGAACCTGCCACATACACCAAATTCAAGTTGCATATAAAAAGTTGTCATGTGTGTAACTTCTGACATGCTCCTCTAATCATCAAACCACCTCTGGATGACTCAGACCAGCTAATGCAGTGTCAAGGCTATGCAATGTCACCCACATTCTCAGGGGATTAGCGACAAGAAAGGAATCTGTGCTCACGAAGCAATTTTTGATCCAGGTGGCTGAACCCATGAATGTGAAACCCACAGATACAGATAGTGGACTGAAACGCACAAGCTTCCATGGATGCTATTGTTTTTTTTAATTTAACGTAACCCTGGAGTATGCCTTTTAAAAGAGACTAACATAATCCAGAAAGCAACCATGGAGTCTCAGAGGTCATCTGGATTACAAGGCTCACACTCTAGCAACTGTATTAACTAGCGCAGGACCAGCACATGTAAAACCAGGCAGCAACGCACCGCAGTCCACAATTCTGGTCTGTTCACATGAAAATTATGTATCTTTTCCTACACAACTCAGTTGGCCTGCAGCCCCCTGTGGCCTCCCACTCCCCAAAAGGCTCAGCCAATCCACCCTCCCCTGTCAAGCTGTTCCTCAAATCTGAAGCTATTGTTTCTGTTCTTGCATTACAATCTGTCCCCTATCCGCCTCTGCAGAAACAAGAAGCAATTCGCAAGGAACTACTCCTATGTTCTTACCGCCAGGTACCCCTAGAACTTACAGGCCTGAGCTCTGGAGAACACTCGAAAATTGTTTTCAGAACCACTGTTGGTGCTAATTGTATTGACATCAAATATGTTAAAATACAGAGGGATAAGAGACCATGACAGACATCCAGATGAAAACAGGACAGGAGAGCTTAGCCATTTAAAATGAAATGGCATCTGAGCAAGAAGAAACAACGTCACATTTCAGTCATTTTATTTACAGGTTTGTCAAGCACTACCAGAAAAGCTCGCACACCTTAGGAATTATAAAACTCAAAGCCACAATGACTTAAAATTAAAAAAAAAACAAATAAATAGTAAACCACAAAGGGCTTATAATTAACTCACAGAAGACATATCTAGCTTAGTCAGGTTTCAGGGAAGGAGTGGGGGGGGCTGTAGAGCAGGGTCGTCTCCTGGAGTACTGTAGGGTTTGGAGAAATCAAAATTCAAAACTAGATTTTTCTAGCATCATATTATTGGAAGGCCTGGGAAATCTGTTTAGTAACTACCATTTGATGTTTTTCTGCTAATATGTATCATTGTTTGTGCTAAACAACACTAAACATGCTCTAAATGCACTGATTTAAAAAATATTTACGTATGTAGAAATACAAACAGAACTGCTAACTAGTGTATTTAAATATTCTATTTGTATTTTTATCCAAAACATTTTCTTTTTGGAATCTTGGTCAAAGAGCCAAAACACAAGAACAAAAGAAATCAGCTTGTAGAACCACAGAACCAGTTTTTGGGGACGGGGACCTGGTGGCCTCCACCCCTGTGGCCAGCACACAGAGAACAATGAAGATGCTTCCCAAGTTCCATTTCCCTTCCTGGCAGCTCCTTGTCACTTCTGTGACATCACCCCCTCAGCCACCTCACAGTTTCAAACAACAGCGAACAGAGAAAAAGACCTCGGCCCCTTCACAAGCGATCTCATTTCTGACTTTGTCACATCCAAATGCGGTACACTTCCTTTCACAGTCAGCAAAAGCAGATGTTCTGAGGCAGGGGTGAGGAAGGGCGGGGTGAGGAAGGGCCTCCTCTTCCTGGGTTAGCATCACTGCTGAGTTGTGTGGGCCACAGGTGGCAGTCCACACACACACACACACACACACACACACACACGTCAGGGTAGCTAGGGGCCTCCAGAAACATACCCAACAGAAATACGTGCGTCTGTATCTACTTCTCAAGAAAAAAGAGGTTTGAAAGATCTGTCCCACACAACTGTGACGGATCAGGCAGAAATCCGTAGGGCCCAGCAGGAGGGAAACAGAGCAGAACACCCTTTTCCTTGGGAAACTTCAGAGGATGTGACGGCTTCCCACCCACACTGTGATTCGCTTAATCAACTGATGGTAAGTGCTGGCTGGTCATCGTTACAATACCCTTTTTCCCCCTTCAGTTACAATACCCTCACAGCAGTATCTAGACTAGCGTTTGACCAACAGCTGGACCCCACAGCCTATGTCCATGGTAACACAGATTCCTCACCCCCTCTGCTGACACCAAGCTCTGGGTGGGAGGCTCGCTCCCTCATTTGGATGAGCTCATGAAACGTCATTCAACGTAAAGAACCCTTCTGGGCCAGAGGACTGTGGTTCTGCAGCGAGAAGCACTTGCCGCCGAAGCCCGACACGCAAGTCTGCTCTCGGAACCCAGTAAAACGTCAGATGTGGTGGCATCGGCTCTTCTCTCAACACTCCTCGGGCAGGAGACGCGAGAGCCAGCTGCAAGCCCTCGGGCCACGTGTGGCGCGGAACACACCGTGCAGCAACGGGAACAGGAGACACACCCTCAGCAAGGTGGGAGGCTAGCAGCAACCCCCAAAAGCCGTCCTCGGCTCCCACAGCACACCGGGCGGTACACACGCGTGCAGACACAGCTTTACAGAGCCCTTCGGAAACCATGCCAAATGTTACTACGCTAACGGAGTTTCTAATAATTGAGAGTGTTAAAAGTTAATATCCTTAACTACTAAACTAAAAAGTAAGTGAAAGACTTACAGGCGGGCCCTATGACGGAACAGAGTTGGGAACTTTTTCCCCTGGTTGTGCAGACGACGGCCCTACAGTCCCGAGACTGTACACAGCGTGGAGACACACAGTACAGACGGGATACGCCGGCTTTGCTGACACCACCCCATCTTTTAGTTTTATTTGGCGGAAGTTTTGAGTTTTTGCTTTGTTTGGGAGTTTTGCTGCTGTTGGTTTAGTTACATTTTTGCTTCATTTTTGTTGGGAGGATTTAGAATGGTGGAGATAAGGTCCGGTAGCTCAGGCTAGCCTCGAAATCAGGATGGTCTTGCCTTGGCTTCCCGAGTACTGAGATGACACGCATGTGCCACCATGACCACCAACACCTTCATTTCCAACTGTGGAGTCTATGTTCATGAATTTCCATGTATCATGAAGTATTTTTCTTCCTTTGATTTTTTTTCAGACTATTTAAAAATATGATGACTCAGCAAGCAAGGGTGACTGCTGCCAAGCAGGACAACCAGAGCTCAATCGCTGGGACTCACACAGTGGAAAGAGAGAACTCCTACAGTGCTGGAAACTGTCCTCTAAATTGTACACACATGTATACACACACACACACACACACACACACACACATGCACGTGCACACATTGTTAAATTAAATAAATATCATCTGATTGTAATGAACTCACAAATAAAAACACCATGCATCTGCATTAGGGTAGCCATGAATGCAAACAGAAGGAAGTACATTAATGTGCACTCCCCTTTATGAGGCTCTCCCAGCTGGCTCTCCCGTCCCTCCCAGACTCAAGCAATCCTCTGTGACTACAGGAGTACACAATGATGCCTAGCTCCAAAGGCCCGTGTCCACAATGTGACACTAAAGATTGGCCAAAAGGACTTAGAAGGTGTGCAACTGATAATTTCAAAATACGGTACTCTGGATTACCTGAATAAGACTTACATAGTTCCAGAGTCCTTGCAAGAGGCAGGAGGGGGGTGTGAGTCAGAGAAGGACTCGGCTGAGGGAAACAGGGTGTCGTCTGAGAGGCTCAGGGTGGCATGCTGTGAGTGTTGGAGGCAGAGGAAGAGCTCCATGCCAAGGAATGCAAGGACCGTACTCTAGGAGACGATCCGAGATCTGCGGCGGCTCCTGCTGTCGGGTGTGGAGAGTACACCCCGTTGCTTTTGGCCACTACACTTGGAGTGATTTTTTTACCAGCAGGAAATCTATGGGGCTTTTGAAAGTTTGCCTGGTCTAAACAATGGAAACAGACTGGAAAGCACATTACAACATCAGAACCCAAGGTTATGCAGGGCCTTTGAGAACAGGTATTACTTGCCTTACCATGGGCAGTTCTAAACTATTAGGAATCTTCCAGCCGGGCATGATGGCCACACTTGCAATCCCAGCACTTGGGAGGCTAAGGCAGGAGGGTTTCTAAAAGTTCAAGACCAACCGGACTACCTAACAAGTACCAAGCTAACAGCCAGACCTCCATTGTAAGACCCTGCCTCTGAAAAATAAAAAATAAAAAAAAAAGAAAGGATGGAAATGGCGAGACGGCTCAGCCGTTGAGAGCACTTGCTGCTTTCCAGAGGACCGGGTTCGATTCTTGGCTCCCACATTGCTGATCACAACCTGCAACTCTAGTTCCAGGAGACCCAGAGCCCTTTTGTGACTTCTAGGGACACATAGCATGTATATGTGGTACATACAAGCCAGTAAAACACATGTAACATAAATAAATAAAAAATTTAAAACATTTTTAGAGGGGAGGGTGGGTGTGGGGAGATTGCTTAGTAGTTCAATACCCTTGCTGCCCAAGCCTGAGTTGGATCCCTAGACGACACCCCCACCCAGTCCCCTGAGCACAATGGCACTTGCCACAGTCATCCACAATCATGCAAATTCACTGACTAATGAGTTAAAATAAAACAACAATCTGCCCTGCTAAAATATATTTCAAACCAATGAAAAAGGATTTAACACATACACGGAAACTACAGGAAACCCCGTAGTCCCCCAAAGCGAGGAGAACTGAAAGCCTTCGCTGTCCCATCCCTGCTGGCAGCGGAGTCTAAAGGAGACTCTGGGTTCTGGCCAAGCAGAACCAGGAAGTGGACCCAGAAAGCTGGGAACTCCAGGTAAAACTCTGTGGGAGACTGCAAAGATCCCCAAGTGTCCTCAAAACTCAGGAAACG